AAGAAACAAAAAAAATGTCTGCTTTTTAACATTGAATTAGTTTTTGAACTTAAGAAAACCGATGATGTCTTTAATTTTGAACTTTGTTAAAGAAAAATATTTTAGTGAAAATTTTAATTAATTTTTTCAGTCACTTTTCAAGCCAAACTTCACAATTTCTTCAATTGTTTTTGAAAATTAACACATTTTTGTTAAAAAATTAAGAGTTTTTAAGCATTTACTAAGAAGTATGACTCAAATGTAGCCACCAAGCACTGCCATTGCAATTGTGCTCCACAACACTCACACAACTTTCTTCTGTATTGACTGCGACTCACATTTTATTCTCACAATTCGAATCCATCAGGCGCGTAGCCAGGGGGGGGGGGGGGGATTTGGGGAACAAATCCCCCTTCGTCTTGAGAAATTTCTTCATTTTGCAAGAGTTTTTATAAAAAGACTCGAAAAAATTTCCCCTTCTAAAAGTTTTACATACAAAAAAAAATTGTCTTCCGTTCTTCAAATTTCTGGCTACGCCCCTAGAATCTACATTAAAAATTGCACAGTTTAGGTCGATGTCAAAATACTTTTGAATTATTAATGTGAAATTAAATTTTCCTCAATTTTTTCAATAGAAAATAACGATTTATTGAATATTTTGCTTCTATTTTGTGGGAACGAGCAGCTTGTTGGCAATTTTCTTGCAGAACAACAACTTTAGGCATAAACACTTATACTTTTGCTAGATTATTGACTTAATCAGTGCTCAAACTTAGCTTTCACATTTGAAAAATCTAGAATCAACTAAACTCTAATTCCTTTGTATCCATCAACTCTCATTGATTGACTTTACAAGATTGTTATATTTTATTTTAAAATTTACAGACTTTTGCTCATTGCGTCCCAGCCTTGAAAAGTTTTAAGGTTCAAAATGATTTTTTCTTCAATTTTTTATTTTTTTATTGAATTCACTTTTAATTCACAATTTTGCTTAGGGATTCTTAAAATATTGTTTAAATTAAAACTGAAGAATTTAAGATAAAATTGAATTTGTGTCAAAAATCTTTTAAAACTTTAAGACTTGAAAATTAAATTTTCCAGGACGTACTCGAGATAAATTCAAGCAATTCACATCAAAAATCCAACTTTTTTCAATTAAAATCCGTATTTTTGTCATCAAATTTTGCATTTTTATTTAAAAAAAAAACAAATTCCTTAATTTTTGCCCAAAGTCCCCTCAAAAAAACCCCAAAAATCCACTCAAAAATTCACAACTTACAGCACATTTCACAATTTCCCAAACGACCAGCTACGCATTCAACTTAATACTGAAAAAAATCATTTCTTTCTCTTCGCAGAGCAGCACAGAAAAAAAGGGCACAACAGAGAAAAAATTGTGTGTACAGCTCAACTTAAAAAGACACACACAGCAGAAGAAGACACACAAAAAATAGGAGAAAAAGCACATTTTTGAGGAAGAGTTGAACTGAAAAATGAACCCAAAAATTTTTATCTCATGCAAATGTGTTTGTGTAAATGGAAAATAGATTTAAAGGATGTAAAAAAAGCATCTGGAACTGAAAAAAAATCTACGCAACGGGAGAGAAAAATTTTTACGCACTGCGAATTTTGTATTTTTATTGGGTGGACTGAAAAATGAGTTTTTGGAGAGTCTGAAGAACTGAGAATGTAAAATTGAATATTGAGGAAGTTTGGGTGGACATGAGGAAATGGGCATGCTGGCATATGCTTTGGTATTGTGATTTATTGAGTTGAATTTTATGGGGAGTGAAATTTGAAAGGAATTATGTTGATTAATTTTTAGAGACTAAAGTCATGGAATGTTGAATATCTTTTTGGGGGTTTGGCAACAAATTTAATAAAGGAATCCATAAATTATAAAATGATTTTAACAATTCTTTGAATTCTCATGTCTGCTTTGAGTTTACATAAGATTAATAAGGTTTATAGAAGTAACCTTGAGAGGATCATTCCTAGAAAATTATCAATAGTCATCACTACGTCAGGTTAAAGTTACTAGACATCATGTCAAGTGTTCCACATGGGAACTCAAGGCAGAAGAAATTCTAAATACTACAGAGCATAAACCTAAAATGTCACTGAAATCCTGTTGGGTCTTCTCAAGAGTGCGATTTCATTAGAAATTTCATTAGGAAATTTGTAATTTTAAGGTTAGTAAATGTGGTGTCAGGTGCGTAACTAGGAGTAAAGGGTTAAATTCCTGACTACGCTCTGGATTAGTCTTAATGAGTCATTGAATTTGTGGCTTGTTATTGCACTTGGGGAATCTTGGATTTTAAGGTTTACGTCGTTTTTTGCGTTACGTAAGAAATAAACGAACAATAAACAGAAGATTGAATTAAAAAAATTTGACAAGCCTGAAAATAGTGACTCCATGCAGGCCATAAGCCACAAATGTCTCGAAGGACCTCTGGTCAATCATTTATGGAAATGAAAATTAACTTAGAAATCTTATAAACTAGCTTCAGCTGCCGCAAATGCTCACAAAGCTACAAGTAAAGTCCTTAAAATAGAAAAAAACGAAAAAAACTGTCAAGAACCGTTAAACATGTGAATAAAATTCAAAACATCTTCATTGTGTTATCACGCATGTCAAACCAAAAATAGGGGAAATGTTGAAGTTCTTGTGAACAATAATCAATTAATTCAACAAGTTTCTTATTGAAATTGATCAAATCCGAAGAATGTTAAAAGACGAAAAAGAGCAAATTGGTTGAAAATCGTCTTGATTTTGTTGAATTTTTAAAAGATTTAATAAAAAAAAGTTTGAAACAAATCTGAATTCTTTTAGAAAATCAATTTTTCTATTGCAAACATTTTGAGAACCACAGTAAATTTAATATAAAAAAAAGAGTTTTGTTTGTCTTAAAATGCTGCAATCAACCAGAATTTGACATTTTCCTTCAAAAACAAAATTGAATTTTAACTAGGGTGACCATCTAATTTTTATGAAAATACAGGACATTTGATAAATTTCCTAAAAAATACAGGACACAAAGAAAAATTTGAAAATTAACGGAAATTTTCGTGAAAAAAATGCAGGACCTGGAACAAAATTTTCAAATTTATACAGGACAGGGTTTTGAAATACAGGACTTTCCGTTGTAAAATTACGCAGATGGTCACCCTAATTTTAACTGATTCCAGTAAATATCCCGAAAAGCACAAGTCAAATAATCGATCAGGTGCCAAGCCATGACATGGATTATGACTGGATTTGAATCCGGCTCTACTCCAGAGCCATTTAGGTTTGTCGTAAGATTTATGATCGATTAAGTAGCTTGTGCTTTCCGGTATGATGAATATCAATCAAATAAATTAAACTAAGATAAGGATTCGTTCATAAATGACGTCAAATATTTTAGGGATGTGTTGGATTTTGAGTTTTGTGACAGTTTAAACAAACAATAATTTTTTCATACAAATTCTGTCACAAAATAAGGGAAGAAGTTTTATAAATCTCATTCTGGAACAAACGTCATTTATGAACAGACCCTAATTAAACACCAAAACTATAATCACAACTTTAATCTCAACAAAAATAGCAAGCGTAAGACTTCATTTCTGATATTTTTATCGCATCTGAAACGTTGACTGACGGAAATTAATTTTTTTTCTGTGTCAACTTCAGATTTGATGGATAAAAAAAATAATATCATAAAGTTTTTACATGCTCAGTGGGATAAAATAAAAAAAATATTATTTTGTGGTGAAATAAAGCAAAAACTAAAACTTTAAATTGATTTTAATATTTTAATTGTATTTATTTGTGACCCCTGAAGGGAAATAAATCATGATAAATATCAAATTAGCAATCGAGATCATTGCAAATTGTTCTTAATTTTGAATTATTAAGGAGCTCGCGAGCACGTGTCGGTTGAGATTTCATTTATTGGCTCCTCCTTCAGTTTTTCTCGCAGCGTTTATTTTTTAACGTCTCTGAAATGTTTTTTAATTCAATTTAATTTGCTTTTGTTGTTTAAATCTGACTTTTGTCGCGATCAGTTGACTGTGAATTTATTTTTTGAATATTTTTTAATAAATTTAAATTAAAGTGAAATTTTAAACATTTAAATTGAGGTAAGATTTGTAATAACGAGTGAAAAACAAATGTTTATAAACATAAAAAGATTTCAAAATCAGATTAGTTTTAGCTTAACTTCATTTTTGATCTTGATTGGTTCAAGAAGAAAATATTAATCTTAAAAATCACAGCCACATTCAACCCAAAAATGAGTAAAACTGAGTATCTGCCTTTTGGCAATCACAATCACATCATTATGCTATCAATTTCAATTTTAATGGTCTAAATAAGGGTTATTGTCATTTTGAGTGTTTTTATCGGGTTAAAGGAATTAAGTGTCATTTTATGAGGGCAATTTTGCATAAGGACGCAATAAGAGACAATAATTGAACAATAGACAGTTGAGAATTGTATGATTTGATGATAATTGAGGATAAGTTGATTTTATTTTGAATTGACGATTGAAAATTATATTTTAAAAAATTAACTTTAAACAATTTTTTCGACCTTTTTTAATTTTTTTAAATTTTTACCAATTTTTTTTAAAACTTTTCTCATATTTTAAGAATTTTTCCAACTGTATAACACTCTTTTAAATTTTGATTTTTCTTTTCCAATTTTTCAATTTTTTGTTTAAATTTTTAAAATTTTTTTGTTTCTTAAAAAAGTTTCGTCAATTTTTTCAGTTTTTTTTAACTTTTTCTAGCTTTTAATTTTTATTTGGATTTTTTTGAAACATTTTATCAACTTTTTTAACATTTTTTCAATTTTTAAAAAGGTTTCATCAATTTTTTCAAATTCTTTTTAACTTTTTTAACATTTTTTTTTACTTTTTTCATTATTTTATATCTTTTTTTCAATTTTTCAACTTATTTTAATTTTATTTACTTTTTTAAATGATTTAAATCTTGTTTAAATCCTTAAGAATTGAAAATAACATTCTCAAATCTCCAAAATGCCGCCAAGACGAATGCAACTCTGCACATTCTGCAAGAAGCACGCAATTCGCATCGGCATCAAAAATCATATCCGCAACTGTCCATACAAGACCTGCAGATGTAAATGCTGCGAGGAAACTCGAATTTGTCAGCGATTTAATCGAGCGAATACAAAAAACAGCCGAAAACCCGTTGGAGAACGAACTTTAACTTTGCCGCCGGAACTGATTGAGCTGCTCGGATTTGAGAAGAGAATTTTGGATGTCATGAAGGAAATTCGAGGATTTTGTGGACGGAATGATACAAAGTTTGGTGAGGTTATGTTCAAGTGGATTGAAAAAGGTGGGAAAAGATTGAATAAAAATCATGAAAAAATTCAAAATGTTTTAAAAATTAAAATTTAAAATTCCAGGTTTTGAAATAACAAATCGCATGCAAATGCTAAATCCAACTGGCCACAACAATAATGATCCAAATAGCATTCAAAAGCACTCAAATATTCCTTCTGGATTGTCAATTGAACCGGTCATGACAATAAATGGATATAATGGATATCATCAAAGTGAAAATTGCACTTTTATTTCACAAAATGGCTGTGTTGATGAAAATTTTTATGACCACATAAATGGATATGAGATGAAAAGTTATGGATATGGTGTGGAGCAACAGATGAATCGAGGCAGAGGTGAGATATGGTTCTGGTTTTGTTGACACAAGATAAGATTTTTAATTATTCTTGAATTGCACTAGTCGGTAAATCGATCAGAAATCTTGCACCAAGATATGACTCTGGCTTGGTACTGGATTTAAATCGAAGTCAGTATCATGCCAGCTTAGCGCCAAATTTCTATTCGACTTGAGCTTTTTGGGATTTTTAATTTTAAAAGTTTCAAAATTTTCAAAATATTTTTGAACTTATTTAAACTCTATTTTATTCCCGCTTTTCAAGTTTTTTGAATTTTTTTTTTTTATATTTTTCAATTTCTTAAAATTAAAGACGGAAGTTTTGAAGCTACAGAACTTAAATTTACACATTTGTATCCTCCAAATCCAATGCCACAAGGTAAGTTAACCTCAAAAATTTGGTTTTAATTTAATTTTGTATCAAAATAGTTCCAGAAATGATTCTAAATGATGCCTCGAGCTCACCAAAATCTGAGCATTATCCACAGCAAGACTATTCTCAATCAATTGCAGCTTGTGCACCACTGAGATGCTCAACAATTAATGGATGTCATTTAGATGAATTGAAATCATTTAGTGACAATTTCAATGTTGTCGGTAAGATTTTTAGCTCATTTTTGAAACTTGTTTCTAAAAGGTAGCTTAATAATACACTTTTTTTGGCTGTTCGGCTGCTTGGGTGAAGAAAAACTTTTTAACCAGACATCGTAGAGAGCTCGGGTTTGTTTTATTAGCTCCGTTACGATCAGTTTATCGGCCCATCGAGTGGTTAAAAGTCTTCGATTTTATCGATGCTATCGATTTTGTACAGCGGTGTCAACTTCGAGTCGACTTGACTCCGTACAAAATTTAATCAACCTCGAGCTCTGATTCAAATTGATTAATTTCCAATTATTAAGTTTTGAGTTTGGTTTCATACTTTGCCGGTGAAGGCTGACATCCTCATGCAGTGACTGCATTTTTTTAAAAATCATAATAAAACAGCCAAAAACATTCTTGACAATTGATAACTCAAATCAGATGTTTTAAATTTGAAAATTAATTTTTTTTAATTTTTATTCAAATTATAGACACAAATTTCAAGAAACAACTGCCATCATCATCGAGCTCATCAGGATCGCCTCGATTGCCAAACTTTTATCAAACTTTTGAAAATAAATAAGAATAAAATGTTTAAATTGTTGATTCCTTTTGTGCCTTGGACAGAATTGTGAAAAATAATTTGTTGAATAAAGTTTGAGAACCTCTGGTTGAAGTCAAATTGAAAATGTTAAAAACCAGTTTGAATTAATTTTTGTAATTTAATTTTATTTTAATTGAAATCACCACTTTTAGTTCCAAAATGATACCAAATCCCATTTAAGGCAAAACTAAATAAATTCTTCATCTACGGCACCTGATGCTCCCTCTTGATTTCCTTAGCAGCAAATGAAATCTCATCCATGCTGTCATAAAGCATATCATGAACACTTGTGATCAGCTCAATTAAACATGACAGTGGATATGAAGCAGTTGTTGTGTCTTTCATAAATATATCCAAAATATCTGTGTCCTTAGAATTTGTCAAGACTTCTGCATGATTAAGGACAATTGATGTTGAATTTAGAAGATTATCCAGGCATAAAGTCTCAATTTCCGTCACTCGAATGTCGAAATCTTTGCTTGGCAATTCATAAAATGATGAATTCAGGGTTAGCAATTCATCAATTGCTGATTCAGTTGCGGTTGTGATGTTTCCGATGTAAATGTCAATGATTGTGGCTAAATCGGAGATGAATGGGTCGCAATCGTGGTCACCGGGTCCTCCTGATTGAGATACTTTAGGGAATTTTTTTAAAAAAGCTTAAAATGCATCAAATTGACTGAAAATCTTCAACTTACAACCAATAAAGCCCACAAAAATCACCAAAAATTCTTTAATTTTCATTTTTCGTTCAAGTGCATCGGCCTGGCAAAAATCTACTGACGACTTTAAGTAACTTGTTCTCTCAGGAGTTTTAATTTTTAGAGAAAAAGAGAGGAAAAATTCAGTACAATAATAACAGAGATAATGAAGTTCGTGACTAAGTCATTAAGGAATGTATTTTAATAAATAATTTAAATGCACAAGTTTGTGGCTTGTCGGTTAGAAAAGTTGTAATGTGAAAGTAATTTACAGATAATCACGAGTTATTACAGACTTTGTTGGGGAATTGTTGAGATTTTGATGATGCAAATTGGAAATTGAGAGTTTAAGGGGTGCGGAACTAAGCGTCAAACTGGTTTAAATCGAAGCTAGCAATAAGCCAAAATCATGCTGGTTTAGCGCACATTTTCTAATTGATAAACTGAATTGTGGCACTTAAGAATTATATCAAATAAAATCTTTGCCCTTAGTTGACCCATTTAACCTTAAAAAGCAGTTTTTGATCAGTTTCAATAGAATTTAACCATTTTCATTTGTTCCTTACCTGTAAAATTGAGCTTAAAGGTAAACGAGTGGTAAAGCAAAGTACAATGCTTCCTGGATTGAACTATTTTTTTTAAAGAAAACATAATTTCTTACCTAAACCTAGGATTCCTGAAAGATTTAATTTATAATGATAAAAATTACAAACTTTATAGCACAAATCAGTTGATTGAATTAAATCCAGCACCAGAGTCGTGTTGGCTTGGTTTTAGATTTCTATTCGATTAACTGACTTCTGTCCCGATTTTCAAATTTGAAAGTTTTTTTTTTCAAATTTCTTATATTTTTTATTTATTTTGCTTTTTTAAATTATTTCTTCAACAAAACTTTAATAAATATTTTTTTTTATAATTTTGTCAACAAAAATTAAAAACATTTTTTTCTTATTTTTATATTATAAACTTTTTGCATTTTTCAACTTTTAATACTTTTTAATAATTTAGATTCATAAGATTTGAGACATTAATTCACACAAATTTATTTACTAATTACATTGAGCTGTTTGGTTAAATTTATTTTTAACCTTATTCTTAATTAATTTTATTAATTTTGATTATTCTAATTTTTAAGTGCATTTAGGTAAATTATGATCGAAAAATTAAATTTTTCAAATTCAGAATTAAAACTAAAAAAATAAACTGAAGTTACGTTTATTTTAAAAGTTTCAAAAATTTGTGAAAATTTATAAATTTAAGAGTTTTTTAAAAACATTTTATATATTTTTTTTTTAAAATTTTATTAAAAAATGTAATATCAAAAGTGTAGAAATTTAAAACTTAAAAAAACAAAAAGATTCAAAATTAAATTTTCAAGAAACAAAAATAAACATTAAACTTAAAAAAAAAATATAATCTCAAATTTTTATTTTCAACATTTTAGGCCTTTACGGAAAAGGATTAACAAAAAATTTAAAATTTATCCAAAAATATTCTTAAAGAACTTGCGTGAGTTAAATACGATTATTAAATTTACAATGTTTTAACTTTTCAATTGAATTTCAATTATTTTACTTTACTTTCTATAATTCTCAAATTCACTTTGTGCTTGAAGCAGATTTATTTAAAATGTTCATTTTTGTCTCACTTTGAAACAGTTTTGAGCTAATTTAGCTAATTTAACTAACCTTTTATGAATAAAATCTTTTGATATTATTTACATTTTCATAATTTAATAATATTCAATTTTATTTCCTAATAACCTTTTAAAAATCAAACAATTTTCAACAAAAACTTTTCCTAGTCTAAAATTTATCTATTTGACGTCGAGACTTTCCTTTTCATCAGCAAAACATAATCACAATAAAAAGAAGCTTTTAAGCTGGTAACGGCGCTTGTTCGTAGAAATCGGGTTCAATTTCTGAATCGGAAAACCTTTGGGTGCAGTCAAGCTGAAAAAAAGGAAATGGAAAAAATGTGCTCAGAAAAATTATTTTACTTTTTGTTTATTTGCTTGTTTGAATTGGTTTTGTTGTAGTGAATTTTGTGAAAATTTGAGAATTCCTAAAGATTTTTATAAAGTTGTAAAATCTGGCTGAATTGTGCCAGAAATAAAATCTGGCTGAGTTGTGCCAGAAATAAAATCAGTTTGAGTTGTGCCAGAAATAAAATCTGGCTAAGTTGTGCCAGAAATAAATTCAGTTTGAGTTGTTCCATAAATCGAGTCTTGCTGATTTATTCCAGATCTAACTGAGATAAATCGTACTTTTGATCATATTTTGACAAAATTCACCACAAGGATCTAATTCTTATTTCCAATTCTACCAAGATTAATTTCAACTCCCAAACCTAATCAATACTCACCGCTCTCAATTCCGTCGACGTAAACAGCTTCCCCAAAATCGCTCTAAGCGGCACCATCATGATCAAAAAGAACGGAAAGGCCAAAGAAAACTGTGATGATTTAACAATCCACAGCACACTCAATGCAAAGACTTGAACAATCGTAAATGAATGCATTTTCCACGTTTGTACGCGACGGACAAAAGGAACTTGTGGGTGGTGTTTGACTGGCATGAACAAAAGTCGCAGTCTGTGTATATAGAAAAATATTATTTACATTAATTTTTACGATAAGACATTTCATGTTGAGGCAGGTTCGATAATTTTCCGAGAACAAATTTGAATTTATTGATTTTATTTCAAGATATTTTTAAACTTACCTTTCAAAAAACTGGACCCCAACCATCGAACAAACTCCCATGTAAAGGAATACACCAAATAAGACAGCCATTGGGACCTCTTTTAGCAGTGGTGATGCAAATAATGACAAGCCTATCATTAGGGATACAAAGAATCCTGACAGTCGTTGTTCCTTAATGTCGACTATTTTTGGTGTGTCACCTGGTGCGTGGTTACTGTGGAATGAAAGGGATCAGATATTATTTTTGGATATTGATGTTATTGTGTGCTTTAAGGTTTTGGTACTCCGCTGTCTCACAAACCAACCTCTCCTCCTCCCATTACTCACATCCACGTTCTAAACCACCTTTTTTTTACAAATTCAAAATTCCTCCGAATCAAATTGAATGAAATTTTATTTTTAATGTGCACACATGACGTGCTTCTTTCCTTAATTTTAAATTTCTTGCGAGGTATTTTCTAAATGTCAGTTTGTTGTCATGCTGACATTCACATATCCCAATAGATCTAAACCCTCATGTTGTGTTTAAACAGCATGGCATGGAAGCTTCATAAAAGCTAAAAGTTAACTTTTAAAATTAAATTCCATAAATTTATTTTTAAACTCCCTAAAAAGTTTTTTCGATGTCTTCATTCATTTTTATCAAACAATATCAATAAACCCATCAGAAAATACAAACAAAAAAGCTTTTAAGGAGTTCTCGAATTTTTTTAATGCTTCCTTTTTTAAAATTAGATTTGAAATGTGATGGACGAGTGTCTTATTGACATGGGTTTCGGTAGCATCTATTTTTAAAATTAAATTATTTTGTATTTCCTTGACATATTTTTGGGATAATTTAGCATGGTTCAATGAAATTCGAGACCATTTTGGAAAGATGGAGAGACAAAGCAATGAAAGTCGTGAGCCAAGTTGAACCAAACTCGCTTCAAGTTCACAAAGTGAGCTGAATGTTCATAATGATGTGACTAAGATGCACTGTAGACTTAAATAGTAGATTAGTGCCATAGAAAAAGAAGTCAATTTACTACAACTTGGAATGAATCCTAAGATCGAGTATCTTAGACAGGGGTGTAGCCAAAATTTCGGGGTTTGACCATAACCCCCCTCCCCCCCTTTATTAAACCGCTGACCCAAGTTATACCCTTAAAATCCGACTCCGATCAAGACATTCATCCAATTTATCAACACAAATAATTAAAAAGCAACCCAAAACTTACGTCGACATAATTGTAACAGCAGACACATGCGTCACCGATCTCACAGTAGCCGCACAATGCCATGGCATTCCAAAATATCCACAAATTGTGTTACACAAGCACAACAGCACAATATCCCAATGGAGTCCATTTCCTTTCTTTAATCCTCGTTCTGGCTTTCCAACAATCAACTCGGAGATTTCAGTTTCCATAAAAATCAGTATGAAGACTAAGAATGCTGGAATAATTGACGCAATTGGAATCCATGGTGGAATTGGCACAAATGGAATCTTCCAGTCACGCTGTTCAGGGTCGCTTGGTGAGATTCCGTCCGGAACATTCAACTTATCTGTATAGACGTGCGGTGCAAAATAATCGATAGTCACAAAAGTGGCAATGGCAATTGGAACTCCAAAATCTCCCAAAGCACGTCTTGTGTTTCGTCCAAGAAATTTAGAGTTACGAAAGACTTTCAAGAAGTAAGCAAGGCAAAAAGTTCCTAGAGTCAAAAGTGTACAAAAAAGAGCAGTATTTGGTTTATTGATTGGTCCCATTTCATCATTTGTATGAGCAACAACAGCAACTGACGTCTCATCTACATTACGGGCACTGATTGGTGGACTGTCAATAGCTATTGGATAATTTGATAACAACGGATGCCGTTGATAGTTTGCGACTGTCTTTTGGACAGTTTCGACAATGTAAATTAATGTAATTAAAGCTGAAAAGATCTCTTGAGTAAATCGTGAGAAGAGACGGACGTAAACGCTGCCTTCAAAGGCTGATAATGTTAATGCAATGATTGTCAGCCAGATGCCAATGTAGACGCGAACGGTGAGGAAGTTGAAGGACATTGATGAGCAAAATTGGAAGAGCGCTTCATCGAATAAGATCAGCGGGCCTGATGTGCCAACAAAGACCTGGAATGAAATGAATTAGGATAGGTTCAGTTTATTTAGGGATATGTTCAGGAATAAGTTCAATATTGTTAAGGATAAGTTCAGTATGATCAGGGATAAGATCATTATTTCAGGGATAAGTTCAATACTTTCAGAAATAAGTTCAGTATGTTCAAGGATAAGTTTAGTATGTTCAAGGATAAGAGCAGTATTTCAAGGATAAGTTCAGTTTTTAGGGATAAGTTCAATATATTCAGGGAAAAGCTCAGTATTTTTTAAAAACAAACTCAGCTTTTTCTTAGAAAAGGATAAGTTCAGATCCTCACCAACGGCTGACTCGACAAAGCATGAAAAATCATCCCAACCATACAGGAAGACACTAATGTCTCAGAAATTCCAATCGAACTTTTAGTTTTCTCTCCAATCAGACCACCAAAAGTGATGGAAGTTGCAAGACCAGCAAAGTACAAAAACAAAGTGGCAGCTAGCGTTTCTGAATTAAGTCCATCTTGGATGTCACTTTTGTACATTGGGAAGCGTCGCTTGATGTCATTGATCATTCCACCCCAAAATCTTCCTGTGAAATTGGATAATAAATTTAGATTAAATTACTGAAGATGCTTAATTAAACTTGCCAGTTCTATTGAGTGGATCGTCAGGTATCTTTTCATCTGTTGATGACAAAAGCTTCTTTTCTTCATTTGAAAGATTCTTTTTAGCTTGGAGCTTCTCTTCAAGCACTCGACGACGACGAGATCGAATCATTTCACTGTAAAGTGATGTAAAATTGAAATTAGAAATAAATTGAGCAATTTTGGACGTTAACTTTACATTGAATGTTCATATTAACCTCAAAAATCCAAACTTAACCTCAAAAAAGTTTAAAATCTAACCACAAAGCATCAATCAACATCACAACGCAACTTTACCTTTTAGCTTTCAGTTCCTCAAACGGCAATAAGTGCTCTCGATCCCATTTTCCAGCTGGCAACACAATTGAATCATCCAAGAACTCATTAATTGCTGTCAATAGCTCTTGTCTCTCATGTGCCTTATAAGCTATAGCTTGGAAATGTCGATTAGACATCAAAGTGGCTATTGACCGTCCAATTTCATGAAAATCTAAATCACAAGTCTTCGGACCGAGTAGAATAAAAATAAATCTAACTGGAATCGGAACTTCAATGACACCAGGCATGCAAACTCCTTCAGCTAATCGAACAAATGCAATTGTTGGCTGTTCCAGGAACTCAACAGCACCGACTAGAACTGATGTTGCTTCTGAATCGCCTGGAATTCTCTTGACTATTGAATCAGCTTGTAAGTCATGTCCAGTTGCGTACAGAATTTCATCTCTAATGTCAATCTTTGTATCCAATCCATTATGTGATGGCTTTCGGAGAACCAAATCATTTGTGATGCTGTTGCGCTTACCCTCGATAATGTTCTGGAAATTGATAAGATATGAATGGGAAATTTTTAAGAATTAAGGATGAAAAGTTTGATTTTGTGCATTGATTGGAACCCAATAATGTGTCGACGGCACAATGAATCAGTAAAAAGTTAAAAAGGGTTGGATGTGACAAAAAGGAGCAATAAAATGGATTCAAATGGAAAATTTATTTTTACTTGACATACGTTGAGGCTTAACATCGATATTGTGCAGCAACTCTCAATTTGATCCTATTTTGTCCTCAAAATTAAAATAAACTTCTTCCAAATAATTTCAGTAAACAATTCTGTTGAATTTTACTTTTTGAGATCATTTTATCTATTTTTGATATTCCCTGAGGCTCATTTGATGTGACGTCAATAAATATACTAAGTGACACATGAATTTTCCTTTTCCTGATAGATTGTGACTGATTAAAATGCTCAAATGATTGATTTTAATGCGCATCAGTTGTGAAATTCAGTATTTGACAGCTATTTCTAGACTTGGTATTTGTGGGATGAACCGATGGACAGACAGACAAGATTTGAGGTTTTTGGTTTTTCTATCAAATCTTTTGACAAAATTTGACCCAATTTAAATACGTAATTTTGTAAATAACAATAATATTGTTGACTTAATGATCATTCAAGCCTGCAAGCAAAAAATATTGAATTTCTATTTGTTACAGATTATCCAAAAAAACAAATATTCTTCAATTTGAAATTGTTGTGGATGGCATTACCATGAGATTATTGCCTTAGAGATAAACCGAGTGAAAAAACATAAAAATTAAATGTTTGTTTTTGTGAAGTTGATGTCTAAACTACAAAATCAAGGCAAATGCGCTTCAAAACTTTAGTGTGAAGGCACCTGAATCTTAAGACTTAATGGGAAAGCACATGCACCTTATAAATTGTAATGCAAAAGCACCTGAACCTCAAAACTTTACTATAAAGACACATTAACTTAGGAACGGTAGTGTGAAGGCAACTGAATCTTAGTACTCTGATGAGAAGACACCTGAATTTTAGTTTTCTATTGTGAAGGCACCTAAGTCATAATACTCTAATATGATTGCACCTTAATACTTTAGTGTGAACACATTATAACTTTAATGGTCTAGTTCGAAGTTGTCTTAACCCCAAATCTAGTGTGAAAAGACAAACGAACATCAACACTCTAATACGATACAACCTATATCTCCAAAAAAAAAAATCAAGAAACTCACCTGCATGCTGTTGTAGCTACTCTTTCTCCTTCCAAAATGAAATCCTCCAAAGCTTGTAACATGACGATGCCTCCCCAGCAATGCTCTCATAATTTGTGCCTTATCATCACGATGTATTAAGTCTTCCTTCACCATCTGCTCAACAATTCTGTAAGCTGTTCCCGGGAGATCTTGTTCCTCAACGTCAAATAAGACGACACCAGTTTCGAGACAATTCCTCAAACTTAATAATGATTGAAATGATAAAGTCGGAACATGTGGTCGTCCCCAACGTCCTGACCCTTCCTCTAAATTTTCTTCATACTTGATCCATCGAGCTGTCTCTTGCCATTCAGCATCGTCGTTATAAAAATACAACTCATCGAGCTGTACGAATGAATCATGCGGTTTGTGGTCGTAATGCTTTTTCTTGAGAATATCTTGCTGTGCATTTTGTATAATGCTAGTGTTGCTCTTGTTTTGCTTGGTCGACGAGTGCGGTTTGTGATGTTTCTTGTGTGAATGGCCATGGATGCTATGGCTGTGGTGATGATGATGTGACTTTTTGGATCGAATGCTATGGCTTGAAATACTTGAAGAACGGCGTGATGATGTGGATTGCTTTTCGTTTTGGTTTGATTGGCTGTGTGAAAGAGATTAATTTAATTTTGTGTAGCTAATTGGTTCCCTTAAATTTGAGGATCTAACAGTGAATTTTAATGAGCTTAATTAATATTCTAAAAATATTATACTTAATAAATCATCCGCCAAAAGGTTTAAGCACTTACTTTTCATGACAACCTTGATTTACTTTTTGTTGCTCGTTAAAATCTTCTTCATTCTCGGTTTCATCCTCGTTTTCAGTCTCTAGTTTCTCTTCAATCAATTTTTCGAGGACTTGGTGTGTCTTCTTTGCAAAATCCTAGAAAGTCGATTGTTTTTAAGGTTAGAAATCAAACATTTTTGCAATATAACCTCAAAATTATAATTCAATACCATAAAGTTCTATTTATAACTTCGAAGGTTAAATTAAAAACCTCAAATTTTATGATGTAACCTAGAATTCAAGCTGTAACCTCAAAATTCAATTTCTAACCTCAAAATTCAATTTCTAACCTCAAATTCAATTACTAACCTTAAAATTCAATATCTTCCCTTAAGATTCAATTTTAACCTCAAAATATATTTTATAACCTCAAAAATCAATATTATAACTTCAAAATTTCCTTCTAATTTGTAAATATACGCCTGAAATCTTCTTTAATACCTCAAAAGCTTCGTCAAGTAATATCAAACCTAACCTCCTAACACAAAATCTCTTCCAAATTCCTCTTAATATCCAAAATGACCATATCCGACCCATTACAATTAACAAGCATCTAACTCTCATCTTCATCCACAACTCACCTCATCATTGCTTATTTCATTCGCACGTAAACTAGGCGATGGCTCACTCGTCATTTCTTCATCTTCCGATTCCGTGTATTCAGCATATGATGATATATTTGATTGTCGTGACATGTGTTCTGTACCATCAAAATTAGATAATTCCGAATCACTTGAGCCATCATGATTTGATTCTGTTGCTGTTGGTGACAATGGAATGAAATCTTCATGCCCTCTCGCCTCACGATTGCTTTCGGTCGATGATTGTCGTTTCATTTTGTTTTTGGTTCTTTTTTTGGTTCTGATATATTTATTTTTTTTTTTGGGTGATATTAAGTTGTGCTTTATAATTGTACTGACATTTTTAGGTTGTTAATTTTTGGTATACTTAAAAGATCGTTCATCTGTTGGATTAGATTAAGTTAGAATTTGAGGCTTATTTTGGGAAAGGCAAAAGTTTATTCAGTTTTTATTGGTTTGGGAGCTGTTTTGTTGCTCTTGAGTGTTACTTTGTTTGATTCTAGGAAGCATACTTAACATTGGAAGAACAGCTTCAGTTGTAATGAATGTTGTAAGCTTAAGAGCGTTAAAAAATGGTCAGAAGGGTCAAAGGGGGAATAAGGCACATGTAAGGAGATACAAAAGTGTTAAATGTTGATCAGGGGGGGACAAGAGGGTACCAAGTGGATCTATTGGGGTTATAAGGGGTTAGCTTTTGGTTCAAGAGGTTAATATGATGCCAAAAAAGGGTCTAAAGCTATGATGCCCAGCCCATGTGCCGCGTCACACTTGTGTGATCTGTTGTCGTCAATATGTGCCATGGCACAAAAAAGGTTATCCACCACTGGTCAAAAGGAACTAAAAGTGGTTCAAAGAGGAATCTTAGGGATTCATAAGTGTCAAGAAGGTCAAGGAGATCATGAAAATCAAGAGTCTAAGGATTAGTGACTAATGAACTCATTACCAACGCCCAATCAAGTCTACAACCGAATAAATAATAATTGTTGACCAAAACATCTCATACCTAAAGCCCACGCATTCTCGTGTCCATTAAAATATTGAATTTTATCACTCAACTTATTAATGTCCTGTTAAATAATTCATAACATGCTTTTATACTCTAACAGTAATCAACATTTATTTGCGACGTAATTTTTATCTCATCCATCAATGTCTCAATTTTAGTCTGATCCGAACACAAAACATTTTTGATATCAATTCTTATTTACAAAACATTATTCTTTTATTTTGGGAAGATAAAAGATTCTCACGTTTCAGTTCAATTTTGCTTTGGTTAACTAGAAACTCAAATTCCTTTTGTAACATTTTTTTTATTCACAATTTTATTTTTTTTATTAAATCAGCAAACTTTTTGCCTCTTTTTTGAATGATTTTGAACTCTTTTTCTTTGACAATCATTCATTTTTTATTTATTTTCAGAATATTGACACACTCAGCATTGAAATTCACAACCATTTTTAGATTTTATGATTTATTTCCACGTGTCAACGATTTTTTCTTTAGTCTTTATTTTTGAATTTTTTGCTATTTTCATTTCTACGGTCAAAAGCACTCGATAAGGTTGTTTCAGGTTTCATTTAACTTGAATCTGTAAAGAGAATAAAGTACAAAAAAGTAATTAAATCATGGTGAAAATTTTGTGGAAAAGTATTTAAATCTATTTCAATTTTGGGAGCATAACCTCAAACATCAGCAACCTAACCTCAAAATCCAGAAACATAACCTTAACTTTTAGGAAAATAACCTCAAAACCCAACAACATAACCTCAAATTTAGCAGCAAAACCACAAAACCTCAAAAATCAAAGACGTAACCTCAAAACTCAGCAACATAACCTCAAAATTCAGCAAATCAACCTTAAAACTCAACAACATAACCTCAAAATTTGGCAGCAAAACCTTAAATTTAGCCACAACACGTCAAACATCAGCAACATAACCTCAAAACCCAGAAAATGACCTCAAATCTCAACAACATTACCTCAAAGTTTAGCAGCAAAACCTCAAAATTCAGCCAAAAAACCTCAAAAATCAGGGACCTTACCTCAAAATTCAGCAAACCAACCTCATAACTCAACAACCTAACCTCAAAATTTGGCAGCAAAACCTTAAATTCAGCCACAACACGTCAAACATCAGCAACCTAACCTCAAAACCCAGAAAATAACATCAAAACTCAACAACATAACCTCAAAATTTAGCAGCAAAACCTCATAATTCAGCCAAAAAACCTCAAAAATCAGGGACCTAACCTCAAAATTCAGCAAATCAACCTCAAAACTCAACAATATAACCTTAAAATTCAAGAACATAACCTGAATTTCTGACCAGCCAATTTGCTTAAATGAGCAAAGTTAACAAAAATAATTCAAAATCATCTTAACCTTCAAAAATCAATTCATTCATTCACGCTCATCCAATATCCTTAAAGATGGTTCAATTTTCATCAAAAGCTTCAGCGCCCTTTCGACCCCCGCAAATAATATCCATTAAATATTTTCACGTCCAACAAAAACAACACGACTCATTAAAATCACCGCATTCTCCAAAAAAGCTCTATCGAGTGCTAATAAATATGCAAACAAAAATCTCAGATAATGAGTCTGCCTCATGATAATATGCAAATGAATTTGAAAATGTTTGTCATGACTAGAATTTTAATCAGTAATGTGATAAGCATTGAGTACTAAATGGTGCAAAATTTTTTGCTTGATTTGAGATTAGTTGGGTAATAAAATGTGAAAAGTTTTGCTCATGGTTGAGTTGGTAGCATTGTCAAGGGAATAGGGAATAATGTTTTACGTAGAAAGATGGGAAATTGGACAATTAGCTTTAAAACTTCGAAACATAACCTCAAAATTTCGAATCTTAACCTTAAAATTAAGCAACTTAACCTTTAATTTAGAAACTTAAACTTAAAATTTAGAAAATAAACCTCAACTTTTGAAAATTAACCTCAAAATTTGTAAACTTAACCTTAAAATTCAGGATCTTAACCTCAAAGTTTTTGTCAAGACTTGAAAAATGTTAGAAATCAACCTTAAAATGTTCCAAAAGATTCAAGAGTTTCAAAAATTAACTTAATATCACGACTTACAGTCGTTTTAAGGTGAAGTCAAACACATGTGTTGCTGCTATGCCCAAAATTAGAAGACATGGGCGTAGACTTAGGAAACGGAAACGAAAATGTTCTTCATTTCTAAAATAAACATTTTGTATAAATATGTCAAAGTAAGAAGCATTAAATATTAAATGATTATTTTGCTATGTTTGCCTTATAACGGAGCAAAAAAGGACAAAGGTACACAATTGTGAATTATAAAGGTAACATTTAGAGACATGATTGTTGAACGAATGAAATTTTGATTCCTGGAAGGTATAATTTAAGTTTATACCGCCATTAATGCGCTCTATGGCTGTAAAAAATGTTATTTTTAGAAAAACGCTTGAGCATAAATGCTCATCATAAACTCAAAGTATTCAACATAACTTCATAAGGCCCAATATAACATCAAAATGAACAAAATAACCTCAAAATAGTCATCATAACCTCAAAATGCTCAACATAACCTCAAAAGGCTCAACATAACCTCAAAAGGCTCAACATAACCTCAAAGGCTCAACATAACCTCAAAAGGCTCAACATAACCTCAAAAGGCTCAACATAACCTCAAAAGGCTCAACATAACTTCAAAAGGCTCAACATTACCTCAAAATGTGCAAAATAACATCAAAATGGTCATTGTAACCTCAAAAGGCTCAACATGACCTCAAAAGAATCAAAATAACCTCAAAAAGTTCAACATAACCTCAAAGGTTCAACATAGCCTCAAAAGGTTCTGTAAAATGATAGATCATAGTGATCAAGGAAAAAGAAAAGAAAAATAAAAATCAGTCGATATACACGTAGATAAACGTAAAGTTGTTTTCAATTCATTGAAAGAAAAAATTGGATAATTAAACATGGCGCAGTCGTTAATATCAATAGAAAAATTCAATTTTGAGGCTTCATCACTAGGATGTGAATGGAAGCGCTTCTCTACAGAATTTAATTCGTATTTGGTGATCAACGAAATGGAAACTCAACCTGACAATATAAAATTACATTTCTTCACTCTATTAATGGGATTCAAATCAGTAGAGCTGATTAAAAATCTTCAAATAACAGATGCTGATAAGAAGGTCTTCAAGAAAGTCCTGGAGGCAATTGAAAGATATTTTTTGCCTGCTTCAAATTTTATGATTGAAAGGATGAAATTTCGTAATCGAGTACAGCAAGAAGGTGAACCAATCGACTCATTCATCGATGCTACACTCAAGTTAGCTGAAAATTGTGATTTTCAAAATTTTAAGAATGAGGCAGTTCGTGATCAAATCGTTTTTGGATTAAAAGACAGCAATTTGCAAGAAAAAATCATTTTGGGAGAAGATAAATCATTGAATGCTGTGATAAACAAAATCAAAATATTTTACCATCATCAAAAAGAATTTAATAAAATCGTATCAGAGAAAGTTCAACAAATCCACAAAGTCAATAAGCACCACCAACAACAATCGACATGCAGTTATTGTGGAAAAGGTACCCACGAAAAGAGCAAATGTCCCGCTCGAAACTTCACATGCTTCAATTGCGGCATTAAGGGACACTTTGCAAACGTTTGTATGACGAAGAAGAAGAAAAAAGAGGTGAGTGCAATTGAGGAAAATGAAAAAGAGCTCGAATCAGTTGTTAGTTGTGATTCATTAGATAGGTATGTAAATAATAAGAATGTTTGGCATAAAAAGTTAAAGATAAACGATAAATTCATTGTTTTCAAATTAGACACTGGTTCCCAAGTAAACACTATAAGCATTAAGCAATTTAAAAGCATAGGAACAAACATCAAGTTGGAAAAGAGTAATGTTAAATTGCAGGGTTATTTTGGAGAAATCAATGTGCCTTTAGGAAAAACAGTTCTTCCGTTAAAAATTAATAATAATCTGTATTTGGAAGAATTTATTGTTATTAATAAAAATACCGAGCCGCTGTTAGGTCTCGAGTCGTGTATAAAATTAAACCTTATTTCTCGCATAGATACAGTTGAAATAAATAAATTTCTATGCTCAGAAAAGGAAAGAAATAAGTTTATTAATTATTATGGAAATGCGTTCTCAGGTTTAGGTAAATTTGAAAAAACTCTGAAGCTTACTTTAAAGGAAAATTCAATTCCTGTCGCTAATCAAAATCGTAGAATTCCATTTAAATTAAAAAATAAACTTCAAAAT